CGGTCTACGCCACCGGCATCAACTCCTTCTTCGGCCGCGCCGCCGCGCTGATGGGCTCCACCAATGCCGTGGCCAACCTGCAGAAGATCATGACCCGCATCGGTGGCTGCTGCCTCATCACCATTGGCGTCTGGATCATCATCGAGCTCTCCGTCCAGTTCGGCCACTACCACCACTCCTGCCGTGCCGGTGTCGGTGAGTGGGGGGGTGTAGGGATGGCGAGAGGGGTGTTGCACCTGGCTGGCGGCTCCCGCAGCCTGCCTATCAGATGGCAACTGATTTTGCGGTTTGTTTGCCAGCCTCAGCATTTACCCATCTCCCTCCTTTTTGCTCACTTCATCTGGCCCCTGCATTATTGACCCACTTTCCCTTCGTACATCCCTTATGCCCACCATCAATGGCCGGGGGGGGGTTTGGAACACAGGGGTATGATGTCCAAAAACATATCAAACTCAACAGGCTTGAAGGGAGTGGTGCGCACAGTCGCCCGCCCCCCCTGTAGAACCTTCTTCAACCCTGATCCCTGTGCTCTCCGAGCCCCCTGCTACTCTGCGTTCCATGTTCCGAGTTCCTCTCATTCTGCCATGCCCCGCGTCGCTATCTCCTACGCTGTCCCTCGTCACTTGATCTCCGGCTCCGCTGCGGGTCCCTGCCTCAGCCCCAACCTGCCTCCATACTCTGCTTCCTGGCACCCCCTGGCCGTTGCAGCACCCGCTCCCTGGATGCACACTGTGATTACGTCACCGCCTTGCACTCACCCACCCCCTCCCCTCTCCCCCACCCCCACCACCCCGCAGGCAACTGCCCCACCCTGACCAACATGCTGGTGATCATCGTGGGAGGCATCCCCATCGCCATGCCCACCGTGCTGTCGGTCACCCTGGCCCTGGGCGCCTTCAAGCTGGCGCGCGAGGGTGCCATCGTGTCGCGCATGTCGGCGGTGGAGGAGATGGCGGGCATGGACATCCTGTGCTCCGACAAGACTGGCACGCTCACCCTGAACAAGCTGACTGTGGACCACGTGAACACCTACAACATGTCCGGGCACAGCATCGAGGATGTGCTCAAGTTCGGCGCGCTGTCTGCCAACATCGTGACCGAGGAGCCCATCGACATGGTGCTGCACGAGTCCTACCCCGAGCGCGACACGCTGTGGAGCGAGTACAAGCTGGCGAAGTTTGTGCCCTTCAACCCCACCGACAAGATCACCATCGCGAGCGTGACGGACGTGAAGACGGGGGAGAAGATGCGCGTGATGAAGGGCGCGCCCCAGGTGGTGGTCCGCTTCGCGCACGACTGCGCGGAGATCGAGTCTGCCTGCCACGACAAGATCGTGGAGTACGCCAACCGCGGCTTCCGCGCGCTGGGCATCGCGCGCGCGGAGGGGCACGAGGGCGACCCCACCTGGGTGATGGTGGGCCTGGTCCCGCTGTTCGACCCCCCCCGCCACGACACCAAGGACACCATCGAGCGCTGCCTGGAGATGGGCATCCACGTGAAGATGATCACCGGTGACCAGCTGCTGATCGGCAAGGAGACGGCCAAGCAGCTGGGCATGGGCACCAACATGTTCACCACCGAGGCGCTGCTGAAGGCGAAGCAGGGCATCGGCCTCGTGGAGGGCCACGCCTCGGTGGAGGACCTGATCGAGAACGCCGACGGCTTCGCGGAGGTCTACCCCGAGCACAAGTTCATGATTGTCAAGGTGCTGCAGGAGCGCAAGCACATGTGCGGCATGACGGGCGACGGCGTGAACGACGCGCCCGCGCTGAAGAAGGCCGACGTGGGCATCGCGGTGGCGGGGGCCACCGATGCGGCGCGCGGCGCGGCTGACATCGTGCTCACCGAGCCGGGGCTGTACACCATTGTGGGCGCCATCATCGGCGCGCGCAAGATCTTCCAGCGCATGACCACCTACTCGCGCTACACCGTGGCCATGACCTTCCGCATCTGCTTCACCTTTGGCCTGCTCACCGTCATCTACGACTGGTACTTCCCCACCATCCTCATCGTCCTGCTGGCCGTGTTCAACGACGGCGCCATGATCGCGCTGTCCAAGGACCGCGTCACCCCCTCCCGCCTGCCCAACCGCTGGAACCTGCCCTCCATCTTCACCTCCGGCATCGTGTACGGCCTGTACCTCACCCTGTCCTCCTGGGTGCTCTACTACGTCGCCACCCACCTCGACTTCTTCGAGAACAAGACCAAGCTCGTCAGCCTGAACGTCACCGAGGAGTCGCTGACCAACTTCTGCACCAGCTTCGCCATCCCTGCCGCGGGCGCCACCCCTGACGCCACCCTGTGCACCGTGCCCACCTACGCCGAGCAGCTGGGCGCCAGCTGCGACCAGTACGACGTCCTGAACCAGTGCATCACCGAGCAGAGATACGTGCGCGGCGCCATGATGCGCTCCCTCCTCTACCTCCAGGTGGGCTGAGGGCGGATGGGGTT